TGGATATGTTTCTGAGAATTATCTTCACCAGACTAAGCTGTCTCATTTATACATTAATGTAAGTTTAAGTAAATGAATCCCATATCTTAAATACATTTGCAGAAAAAGCCTTATCTCTCCTTAAAAAAGAAAAGACTTTATGTTTTGTTGCAGGAACTACATGCAACTTGGTGGAAAACAAGCTCTTTCTAGAATATTGATAAAAGGACAATATGAAGTGATGTAGATAAAATATACAATATCGATGTTTTTAACAGATCATTTCAAGTCCCAGATGACTGCTACTTATATATAAACTTTGTGATTTTGCCTTTATGCTCAGTGGCTACTTACTTTTAAAGAGAAGTTGTGTTTGTTTAAAGATTAACTCTGTCAAATAGTTTGGATTTTTGTAACAAAATTGCAAACACTTTTGATGGTCCTGCCTTGGGTATTTTGGCTCCCTCTCTCACCTCTATTTCCTTTATTGCCTGACCTTCTGTGGTACTTGGTACACAAAAGCAAAAACATGCCCATTTTATATATTCATCAAATGATCAATCTAAGAAATGAATATATTAAAGTTGCGGCAACCAAAAATTACCTTAGAGTCTTAGATTATGTGGACCATGCCTGATTTGAAGATTCTTCCAGAAATATTAGATAGCTGTCTTGCCTAAAAAAAAGCATTTCAGTGATAAAAATTCTTGTCCAAAAAGCCAAAGAAAGAGGTGTGGGGTAGGAATGCCTAATTCAGCAGGACAGTCATAGGCAAAAATGTTCTGGGTCACACATACGAGTTCATTACCAGAAAAGCTAAATTTTTCTTCAACATAGTGAAGTCAGGTATATTGCAAAAGGTTCTGCTAACTCCCTTGGTTGCTAGACAGAAAAGCAAGAGGATTGCTCTGTCAATCGGCAGCCTCCTGCCTCTGAGGAAGACTAAAGAGAAACAAAAACTTCCTCAACAGAATCAGTGAAGTGATCTGTAGGACACCAGTGAGGTGCCATCAGCCTCTCTCATAGTAGTATTCACTATTGTTGACACCTGCTGGAAGCAAAATGCTAGATCCTGGTCCATGCAATGATTTCAACTCCAAGAGATCAACCATTAAAACACATGGAGGACCTTCTCAGTTCAGAGTTTCAAACCCTCTGAGCTCACAGAATTGCTCTGGGCTATGGGCCATGAAGCCCTGATTCTAACTCCTTTGTGACTGATCAGAAATTTGGCTCCATTTTTTAGTGCATCTATGGTATGCCCAGTATCCCTGCAAGGAAAATGACGTTCAAAATCCCTTGAAAACCCACCATTCCTCTTGGAAGTTTAGTATGTGAAAGAAACTGCCTCAGAAAGAGAGATTATAAATTCAAGATATAATTATTATCCTTGTATAACAGCATTGGCCCACCTCAATTACAAACCTCACTTTTAAAATCAGTTAACATTCCCTTTTGGGAAAGCCCTTTTGCCCTTTAATAGTATAAACTAATCATGGCAGTATAATTTCCGGAGATCATATTTGTGAGAGGAGAATTGCTGGCAGTGGAATGCTCAGTTCTATGATGGCTTTCTCCTTCCTTTTCTCCTGAAATTATTGAGAAGCTCTAAGCTAATTTTCAAAAGTATGCAGAGGTACTTAGGAAAGCCAGGAGTAGAGTTGGGAACCTGAGCATTGCACTGACATCATTCTTGCTTGGTACATATGGTACAGCGCAGAGGCAATACTGACTGAGCACACTGGTCTATTCTGAACTCTTGCTGGCTTTAGCATCCTTTAATACAAGCAGGCTTGCTTTTTCTTATTCTGAATCACACAGTTTTCCATTTATTTAACTAGGAAAATATAATTTTTCTGAGGAAGAATTTTCATCATTTGTATTTTCAAGTACATGCAAAATAAAACGGGATCCTGCATTGTTCTCAAAACCTGCTCATGTGCATTTAAAAAAAAAATTCTCACCATAATCTCTGCAACTGGGTCAGCTTGCACAAAGATGCTCAGGGTAACCATGAGTGCTTTCAGCACCCTGCAATCCTTGCAAGTGACACCTCATAATAGTGCAAATGAAGCATGGCATGATGAGAAAATGAAGAAGAATGAACCTGGATAGTCAGCCCAGCAGTTTTCAACACATAAAGCATAGACTCAGTTTTATTCCCTAAAATACATGGCACATGATTCTTCTTTTACACATTCAAACATACACATGCTTTCCCTATTTGGAGAAAAATGTCTTATGATTCCCCCAAAAAAATCTAATACAAACAAATAGCTGGTTCATTTGTTCATTTATATATGTGTATGTGTAATAGTCTCAATTTTGAACCAAACTTCATTTACACCTGCCTTGATTTTCAGCTAGGAATTTATCATATTGCCATTCACCTTTGTGCTTTCCCTTCAACCTCATCTTGGGCTCAAAGATTATTTCCTTGTGGGCCCTTTGTCTAATTATCTGAATATTCAGGGAGTTTATTGAACCAACAAGCCAACACCACCTCTTTCTTATTAGGTTTCTTTAAGCCCTCACCCTGCCTGCTCTGCTCTCAGCCCCTCTGCGTCCCCACCTCACTCACTGCTCTCCATCCCCCAGCCTGAGGCTTATTTCATCCTTAATGTTCCTTCATTGTTCTCTAGATAGAGTTAATTCCCTGTTTTTGAGGGAAGGAAGGAATGAAGTATGAAAAATTCACACTGGCTTTTTTTTTTGACAGAGGTTGGCTATTGACAGGTAAGTTTGATACTCTGGTTTAAAAAAAAAAGACAAAGAATCTGAAAGCTTTCTCCAAAAGTGTGTGTGAAGAGGACGGCAAGTTTCAAAAACAAACAAATTATGACCATACAATAGAACCTACAAAGGAAAGAAAGTTATCTGACCCAAAATAATAATACCAACTGCTGCTCACATACAATTTTCTCCACTATCCTTCTACCCATTCTCTTTCTCAGTGATGGACATGCCTGATTCTTCCTTCACATGCAGAGACTTACACTGCATTGTGTAGGGAAAGATATGTTTGTAAAGACCAGCAGACGGCGCTGGGCTGGGGTAGAAGCTGCAGGGGTGAGGGGGAAGGAGAGCCGTCCCTGAGGCAGCGCCCCTGGAGGCTTTCTCCTCAGATCCCCAGGCGCTCTCCCCACTCAGCCATGTCAGCCCCAGAGAGTGAAGCAGAGCCACAGAAAAGACAAAATTCACATGCACAGAAAATTATTAGCCCAGCACTTCCCAATAGGCTGTCCAACTCCCCGGCATACCCTCCTCAGGCTTTCCTGACCCACCCATGCTCTACCTGCCCCTCCTGCACCCAGGCTTGCTTCCCTTTCCAGGGACTCACACAATCTGCACAAAGGGAGGGCAGGGGGGTGAGAACTGCCCCCAGGGAAAAGGAGCAACCAGCTCCTAGAATACTGTGAGCAAGTAGTGAGAGCAACAGAAGCTCTTCACTGCTTCAGCTACTCTCAGATAAGACGCCCAGTTTGGGGCATCACTCTTATCTCCACCGTGGGCACTGCTCCCTGGAGAGAACCCTTGAGGAGAACCTTGGGGAAGGGATGGGAGGGATTCCGAGGACCCATACGTTAGAGTGTCTACACCAGTCCTACAGATAAGCTGCCAAGGGGATTTGTTCCCCTTCATTTAGGTTAAGGTATCGTTTCTCATTTCTAATCAGAAGCTTCCCCAGGTAGGAAGCCTGTCCCAGAGGAAAGGGGACTTTCTGGTATGACCAGCAACTGCTAGGGAGAGGGGCACAGGATCCAAAGCTGAACCAAGTCTGAAAGAGGAAGGGGCCCTGTCAGGCAAGGGGGTAAAGGGAAAATAAACAGTGTCCACAACTTTCACTCTGCTGTTTAAAGTAGCAGACTTCACACTGCAGGAACAGAAAGATGGAGTGTGGGGAAAAGACTCACAGAAACAGTTTGATGTTTTATTTCTTGGCCGATCAGGGAATCTGAAATAGACACTTACCTGAAGAGGACCCTGGCCTTACATTTTCGTCCACTCTGTTGAAGGAACCTACCAACCAAAGCTTTTCTCCATAATCTGCTCTTCACAAAAGAACCCCTGGTGTGTGTAGGGGGAGTGGAGGATGAGAAAAATAGCTTCTAACTTCTCCTCCTCCAGACAGACCTCTTGGCTTAGACCAGCCAGCATGACCCACCTGCACTCTTTGGGAAGCACAGAACTCTGAGGAAGGTGGAAACAGGACCTCTTATATCCCAACAGCTTTCAGACATGATCCTCAGGGAGATATGTTTGGGTAGCCAAGCCTTACTCTGTTCCATTTAGAAAAGAACTCAGCCCAATCACCTAGAAAAAGAAGCGCATGTATGTGTAGGGTGGGAGAGAAGGGATGGTGTCCACAGGTGCCCTCCAAGACTGGTAGGGGCTGGGCCGGCATAGGGGAGGGTGTCTTGGTTACCCCCCTACCTTCTGCAATTAAGGGAAGAGGTGGGGGCAGAAGGGGTTGGCCTCCTGTTGAATGAGTCCCAGGACCAAATGCTCCACTGTCGCTGCAGTCTGGGGCACACTCTGGAGGCCTGTGAGGGCTGGAACCTCCTCCTCCCCCGGGCCAGGGAAAATGGGCAGGAGGTGGAGCAGCACACACAGCACAGACAAAAGGTTCTGCAGAGCCCTCCTCTCTCTGCGCTCAGGTCCCTTGGCTGAGCACGGCGCCCCATCCGGCCACACCGAATGACCTCTGTCTAGGAACGCCCCCTTCCCACGGGGTTCAGGGACCCGGCCAGAAAGGGTCCTTTATTAGGTGCCCACGTCTCTTCCCCGGCACCCCGACAAGAAGCGCCCCTCCCTCCCCTCACCACAAACACCCGCGACGCCTTCCCCCATCTCCTCTCTATTGTCTTCAAAGAGATAAGTGGCTTCCACCAAACACACCCAAATGCACCTCCCGTTCATGCTCTCCCATTTCTCCGAGCCTTAGGGACCGAGAAGCGAGAGCAGGGCTGAAAGCGGGGAGCAAGAGAGTAACCCGCGAGAACTTGGCATCGCAGACCCACCGTGTCCGCCTCGCAAGGATGCCGGTGACCTGTAGATTGCAATAGGCACTGAGTGATGCTTGCTGCTGCCATGGAAATGGTGGATGTGGTGCGCTCCCAAACTGGACGCCCCCCACGCCACTCCTAGGAGGCCGCTGAGGGTGAGCGGGACTATCCAGAGCAGGGCCAGGCGCCCCCCTGCGCCGCCGCCCCCGCCGCCGCCCCCGGGCGAGCCCAGCTCGGCGGTGCACCGGAGCATCCTCTGGTACATGGCGGGGCGCCCCCCCGGGGGCCGCCGCCGCGGGAGGCAAAGTTTGGGGCGCGGGAAGGGGAGAGGACGCCGGGGAGCGGGCGGCTCAGGGTGGGCTGCGGGGCCAACCAGCTCACCGCGCCAGGACACCCATCCTCTCCCTCCTTCGGACAGTCTTCTTGGGATCCTGGGGTCCGCCGTGCCTTGCACCCCAAAGAATCCGAAACATAGCCGAGGCGGATGCAGCTGATGGGGGCTTGTCCGGAAAGGCAGCCCCGGGGAACAGCAAGCGCGGAGCGGGCGGCTGCTCCCAGATTTCCAGGGCTCCAGGTTCTCGAGAGATACTCCCAAAGAGTTTCGGGCGAGAGTGCGTGCCGGGGGGTGGGGAGCGGGGAAATTGTTTAAAGCTCCTCCCGGAGGGTCCTCACTTCTACATGACAGCCATCCAACGCGCATCCACTAGGTAAATCCATTCAGCATTGTGTGTGGGTACTGGGGAGGCCACTTCACCGGCCCAACCTCCTTTCAAGGGAGCAGCAGACCCCATGGAATCGAGGCGCCCCTTCCTTCCATTCAGCCCCGGCCGGCTCGCCGGATCTGGGCAGCCTCCCCCGGGCAGCGCGCAGAGCAGCGGCGCGCATCGCCTGCTCCCGAGGCAATCTCCACGTCCGCCGCCTCCTGACACTTGCGCCCGGCGAGGGGTTCAGAGGGAGAGCGCGCCCTTAAGAAGGAAGCGGGGATCGAACCCGGGAAAGAGAGCTGAGGAAAAGCAGGAGCGACGAGTGGGGGGAAAAAAGAAAGAAAAAGAAAAAAGAAAAGAAAAAACACACACATTGGCGAAGCAAGGGGCTCTATGCAAATCTGCAGTCTCCAAACAGCAAATCACGGAAGCTCGGATGCAATGCAGAGGACGAGCCTATGTAACGAGGGAGGCTGGTCTAGCTTCCCACAGAAATCGCCCTGCCTGGCCTCCCTCCTGCATTCTCCACACATCAAAGCGACACGTGTACTGCGAGGCGGGGAACACCTAAAAAGCAGCTCTCTCTCCTCTGCCAGGTGATCCCTCCGTCTGAATTACAACGGCAATGGCACCCTTCCCCTACCCCTATGGTTTAGATGTAACCAGTGTCTTGAGAGCTCTTAAAAGGGAAAGAATTCAGCTCTTCTTATTGGGCCAAACTTGTTCTGCCAGGTGTTCAAACCCAATGTGCTAAATATGGCTTGACACCATCTACTCAAGCGCCAGTTTTGATGATCTGTTAATTACACATATTACTCATAACAAAGAGTCCTCGTTCCCACTATAATATCATATCTCATATAAGGCAGTGGACATTAAGGGAACCAAAATACGCAAGGAGAAAAAAAGACAAGTGAATTTGGCAGCTGAGGAAGAAACAGGAAAAGGAAGAATGAAAGAGAAAGGAGGGGAAAGGAGACAGGTAGCACAGAGGAAGAAGGCGGAGAGGCACTGTATGAATGAGGTTGCCTGTACTGCAAAGATTTCAGGGGTCTTGAAGAACCCCCAACACCTCTATAGAAGCCCAGCTGTGATTATCTTTTTATTATTATTATTATTATTATTATTATTATTATTATTATTATTATTAAAGTATCATTGATACACAATCTTGTGATGGTTTCACATAAACACCACAGTGGTTTCAACATTCACCCACATTATCAAGTCCTCACCCCCTCTTTGTGTGATGATCTTTTATAAGGGTGAAATTCTGCTTTGTCTCATCCTGTCTTATAAGCAAAATAGCATTAGGAAACAAAAATTCCTAAATCTAGTACCCCCAAGGAAAAGAGGCTATTTATTATATTCTGTTGATGAATGCAGCATCTTTGACTGAAAGCTGTGTGTCCTGGAAGCACAACCAGCAAAGCCAGCATGCGCCAGGAGTAAAAACCAAAGGTGGCACGTCGACTTGGCAAGGAGAACCACAGTCAATGGAGGCTAGCAGGTAGGATTTGGGACTGCGATTGAAATGCTCCCTTGGTTTCCAAAAGATGATTTAAGAAAAGCAATGACATGTCTAGTGGTGGGGCATTTTTTTGTCTTTATTCCTACTTAAAGACAAAGGAAAACAACTCTGAATAAGCACTACTTTTCACAGGCTCCTCCCTGTCTATATAATCCCTTATACAAATACAAAGTCACTTATTTAAAAAAATAAGTAGTTCTGGGAGGACTTGATTCAAATCAGCCACTCATTCAAGTGCCATGTAGATTTGTAAGTTGCTTCCCTGTTCATCCAAAGAGGCAACCCTGAGACTCTAATGTTTCCTATGTAACCAGAGTCCAGAGGCCACTAAATCAAATCTGCAGCAATTCAACATCTCACATTCCTGTTATTAAAAGTGTTTGTGATTCTAAAAAGATAATTCTCCAGGAGTGTGTGAATTGAAACAGCTTAGCCATGCTATAGAAGGAACTTATATATGCCATGTCTCCCAACATCCCCCAGCTACTCAAAGACCAAGAGATCCCCAATCCAGCACCTTCCACTGTGTACTGTTCACACCCCAATCCAACACCTTCCACTGTGTACTGTTCACACCCCAATCCAGCACCTTCCACTGTGTACTGTTTCCACCCATATCCCCAGGTCATCTCCTCTTCATTTCATTACTTTTTAGCACATACATTTTAATTTATTAGTCAAAGGTTGTGAATATTCGTTTTTAAACTATCAAGTAAGCTTTAAAAGAAAAAGAAGAAAATCATCCTTACAGTATGGCTTTAGAACTCTAGGTTCCTCTTCTGAATTTGATATTTCATAGTGTTTGTATGAGAAGAACACTGGATTAGGAGGTAGGAAACCTGTGCTGCATTCCTGGCGCTGCCATTCACTGGTTCTGTCCCATTAGTTACTTAGCCTCTCTCTCCCTGAGGCGCCGTGGCTTCCTTTATAAAATAGTCATGTTCCTATCTTCCCTAACACTCCCACAGGGCAGGAAGGATATAATGCAATATTTAATATGAGAGTGCTTTAAAATATACCAAACGCTCCCCACAGTTAAGGGGCTATGTCTCTCCCCCCATATAGGTCTAGTATATTCAAGCTGATAAGCCTGCACAATTCATTCAGTTCTCTTCAATCTACAGGAAATGAAGAGCATCATGTTGTTCTCCAATAGCCTCTTAAACGGTCTTGATCTGTCCTTCCCTCCCTGACTAGATGGTAGATTCTTGAAGGAGAGAGGAGTCAAAACTTCATCTGTACTCCCTCTAGTGCCCAACTTATGCAAAACATTAGTTGGTCTCATTAAATTCTCATTATTCACAGTAGTATGGCCTATAAATCACTATGAACACTGAATTAGGGAACAGTGAACATTTGCTCTGGGGGGGTGGAGGTTCTCAAAAGTCTCTGGTCACAACGTTTTCATCAAATTATCAATGTATATATCCTTGTCTTACATGTTTTTTTCTTTTTAAAGATACCTCATTTAACATATATTGTTAATTCATTAACATTGAACTCATTGCCAACAGTACTATAATTCAAGCCTGAATGACCTCATCTAACATGCCTATTTTCTCCATAGGGCACACCACAGCTTTCTCGTGCTTACACACCTTAGCACTTAAACACTATACTTAGGGGCCATTTTAAACAGCAAAATTACCAATACAAAACTCCAAAATGTGAAAAACATGGCACTAAGTGGACCACAAAAAAGGATACTTGTTTATAGTATGAGAGCTGAAGCAGAAAGCTAGGATGTTGCTTTGTCTGACCACAGCTGGGTACATGGGTGTCGGGGTCTCAAACTTTCTGTCATACTGTGCATGTCGGTTAATGACCATCATAGTGCCAAGGGTATTGATTTGGGGTTACATTTAGTGAGGATGTGAATTCATAGCCATGAATAAGGAGAATTGACCGTGTACGTTATTCTCCTGATTAATAAGGAAGGATGTGGCTGGGACTTTGGCAGCTGATTTGAATAAATTAAAGCCATAATAATAGAGTAAGTGTAGATTCTGATGATCCTTCCCAAGAGCATTCAACAAAGAAGAGGCTCCCCTGCCTGTCTTACATTATTTCAGGCTTTAAGAGATAAAGTTCAGATTAGGAAAAGAATAGCCCAGAAATCTCAGTTTTACGGGAGTCTCAGGAGCTAAGGAGGACATATTTATGGCTGCCTGAAAGAAGAAATTGTAGCTGTTGTGTTTCAGGCAGATGTCTAGGGCACCTTTGCAATACCTAGGAGGTTCTGAGGTGGATTCTGTAATACTCAAGCTGCAATATTTGTTATAAATGGTTGTAATTTGGTAAAACTGGGAACAATCCACTATCCACAGAATGGAGAGCAGTCTTGTGAGCAACCTTAAGCTTAATCCATATGAAGTAGATAAAGCTTGTGCTTACTATTTATGCCTCTTCAGCTTGTCAGTCCTTGTGTTGGAACTGCATTATCTAGAGGAAACTGAGGCCGCCTCTGATGAATTGCTCTTATATAAGTGAAGTATTGGTTAGAGGAGACATGGTGCTCAGCTGCCTGTAACTTACTCTTAAATATTTCAGCACAGACACGTGATACAAATGTGGATTAGTATTATTCTGTATCCCAGGAGAATCAGTTGCCCTCATCAGGAATTTATGCTCCGGTATCTCAGCCAGAATTACAGAAGCCAAAGGTGGCTGCTAGAAGCCTTGAGCTATCATCATCTCCAATCATGATGTGGCTTTGCTCAGTAATTTTAACATATGTTGAAAATAGGTTATCATTGGTGAAATAAATAGCTTGTCAATTGGTATAATGGAAGTTTGGAACGCATTCTCTGTGGTGAAATCATTAACATTTAAGATGTATAGATTGGCCAAAATATTTACAGACATGTTTCTATTTGAATAGAGTATGTGAATCTTAAAAGCCTTTCACCCTTTACTGTAAGGAATGGTGCCATAAAAAACAGTAATAAAAAGAAATACCACATTTGTAACTGGCACAACTCAGAGATGTAAATGTATTAGTTCATTAATACCACAAAAGCATATGAAATGGGTGCTGCCTTGACCCTGAACAGACCTTACTCACCTAATTCTAACAAGTTGAGCCAGATGCCACCACTGAAATCCTGCTGTATTTGCAAAAGCTTTTTGGTAAGATATTTGTCAGGTACCCAGAAGAGCCAAGAACTGGAACTTCATTAAGCTTCCAGAACAGGCCATAAGATTTTGCGCCTACTTATTAATAAATGTCTGTTTCTGTAACAGAATTTGGTCTCCACGGTACATTTGCTATAACCTGTATGTGTGGGAACTCTTGGAAAAGAGGCTAACCCTCACCTGAGTCTACCCCCGCTGAGTACTGAGACCTACCAGAAGAACCTAATAGCTGCGTATTAACATTGGCTTCCGCCCATTCCCAGCTGATGCTTTATAATGAGCAAGACCGCAGGCAGCCTAAGCTGGACAACCGTGTTCAGAAATGAGCGATGGGTTTGAAAGCTGCGGGGAAATAACACAGGAAACGGAAGGAGAGAGAAGAGGGAGTGGAAAAGGGAATGTGGCGAGAAACGGAAAAGGACAGGTCATTTCAAATTATTTTTTCATTTTCTAAAAACGAACCCTTCTGTCTCAAGGCACAGGATGACTGTCAGGCAGACACTTGCAACCTTTTCGTATTTTTCTTAAACTTAATTGGAAATTCTTACTGCTCAGTATTAAGCTTTTTAAATAGACAAGTAGACACTAAAAGCAGCAGAGAGGAAGTATATTAAAACCCACAGGCAGCAGCAATCTTTTAAAAATTAAAAATGAGGAGAATGTCAGGCTTGTATTTTACAT